AGCAGAAGGGCAGCGAGGCACATGCTAGATTCAAAGGACAGGGGCAGACGAGCTGCCTGTGAGGGTTCCTGGTGGAGCAGCTCACCGGGGCAGGGAGACTGAAGAGATATATTGCAGTCAGACTCTGGCGAGCCTTGGATGCCAGGCTAAAATGTGGGAAGGTGGCCAAGTGAAAACGTCCTTTAGGCAGTTAGAAATGACACTAATAAACAGTCATTACTTACTGAACACTTATATGCCAGGAACTATGCAAAGTGCTTTAATGCCAGTTATCTAATTTGATCTCCCAACAGCACTATCACATAAGTACTAGTATTAGCCCATTTTATAGATGAAGAAACTGAGCTCTCAGAACCAGTGAGTCACTACATCCAGGCCTGCCTGACTCTGAATACACCATTCTACAAAATAAGGTCAGCAGAGAGACCAGAACAGGAGACCTCAATTTGAGTCATTTCCATATAGGGAGAGAAGGTTAAGAACAGAGGGCCGTAGGTCTCATTCAAGCCCTCTTCTTGTAAAGATGAGCTCCCAATCTCTGTTTCCAGTCTTGCACTTGATCCTGAACTCCACGGATACATTGTCAGCTGCCCACTGGATTTTGTCACCTTAAATTCAACACGTCCACACCAGCTTCTTGTCACCACCTTCCCAGCAACCAGTTTCCGATTTTATATTCCTAACTCCTTAAGCATAATAGAGGATCGAATCTTGTGTCAAACCAAGTTGGGCTTAACTGGAAGTGCAAACCATGCAAACCCTGAGGCAGGCCTTGGACCAGCTGCTGAACCGTAATGGGTTGCAGTTTTCTCATCTATGAAATGGAAACAGTAACAAGATCTTTCTGGGAAGGCAGGCGCTTGTGTAGACTAAAGAGACAGTCTGTATATAACATAGAGCACAGTGCTGAGCACCTAGCAAGTGTTAGGTAAATGGGGTTATTATTGTTATTGCTGCTGTTCCTCAGGTTTAAAACTCCCTCTTTCACACATACCTAACTCATACTGACAGGTGGGAGGAAGGAGAGGGACCCACAAGGAGATAATGAAAAACCAACTTGGCTGGTGCTCCTGGCAGTGAGCTCGTCCCTCTGACTCCCGGGGCTTCAGGATCTCCCTTCCACACCCACCACGGAGAGCTGGGCTGTAGCCCAGGATCCCCTGCTCTTCTCCCTCCAGACCTCCTTCTGGGGATCAACGAGCAATGTTTTTTCCCCTCTCCCGCTCCCTTTAGTTAGAGCCCGCATTTCGTGTCGTCTGCAGCCCTTGTCTACCCCAAACACCCTCCTTTCCCTTAAAGTATCTAAAGTCAAAGTTTTAGAAATCTACTAGTCCAAGCCCTCAAAATATGGAGTTTAAAATTAAGTCATTTAAAAAAACATTCTTGCATAATTAAATTTGAGTGAAGTACGCCTTCTCCCAACCAATCTGCACGCATTCACCGGTCTTCGTTGCTGTTCGTGCACTGTGCAGACCTCTGGGTTCTCGCTGTGCAGAGCCAGTCTCAGCGTGGGTCTGTCTGGGCCTTTACCCGTCCCTCCCCCACAGGCCCAGCAGGTTATCCAGCCCCTCTGTGAGTATGGGTGGCTAACGATTAAAGATAAACAGGGCACTGGTCGAGATCACAAACCCTCACACATCTGCACTCCCTAACCTCCCCTGAGGCCCACGGTAAAGATGAAAGGAGACTCTAAGGAGATAGGGATGGTGTTTGTATAGGGGAGGGGAGAACAAAGGGAAAGGGGAGCCTGGAGGTGGCAGGCAGGAAAAGCAGGTGAGACAGAAGAGGCAGACGTTAGATGAGTCAAAGAGAGTGAATGAGGGCACTGGGTCGCATCAGCTCAGGCTTAGCTGCCCCCAGAGGGTAGTGTGAACTAAAAAGAGAAAAAGGGGAGACGAGAAGGGGAGTTGATGCCATCACTCAGAAAGTGGGAACCCGAGTGTGTTGCAGATGGTCGGCAAAAGCTCAGCTCGTTTCCAGGAAGGACCCAAGCTCTCACCTTCTGATCTGCTGTTGCCTCTGCCTCCTCAATCTTTCTTGCCTGGCTCTGCTCCCAGGGCAGCAGGGCGACAGCAAGCCGCCAGGATGGCAGAGGAAGGAAGGAGCTAACAACAAAGATGTCAGTCTTGGAGACCACTGGACCCCTGCTTGGCAGACAGAAGCCACCGTGGCTGCTAATACCCTCCATTTATTTGGTGCTCTCAGCATATTTCAAATGCCCCCACACGAATGATCTCACTCAGTCTTCAGCACAGCCTTGCGAGATAGGCAGGCTGGGATTATCTCCAACGTGTTCCTCCCTTCTTTACCCTGTGGATCTCTCAAGAGCCCTCAAATTGTTTCCTCCATAGAAACATCCAACTTAGGGGCTATAAAGAGGTCCTCGTCAGGGCTCCATTCTGGGCTTGCTTGCTGCTGTCTGTCCTGGGCTGGGTCTAATGAGAAGTCACAGGATACGGAATCCTTCCACTTCTGGAATTTCCCAGGCACCCCTCCCCCTTTGCTTACATCTGAAAGCCTGGCACACAGTGACCAGTTCACCCACTCCCCAGTGAGCTATGTCAGATTTCTCCTCATGAGGCGAGTGGAAACCTCGGGCCTAGAGAGGCAAAAGCCTTTGCCCTGAGTCACAGAGTGAGCAAACATGGCGGGTTCCATGATGACTTGGAAAGAACACAGGTCCAGGAAAATCAGAAAGCCTGGGTTCCGATCCTGGCTCCGCCCCTTATCAGTCAGTCACCAAACAGCCACTTAACATTTCCAGCCTTGGTTTTCATTAACTGTCAAATGAAAATACTCCTCACCTCTTGGAGTTGCTGGGAGGATTGTAAGAGATCAAGATGTCAAAGTGTAATATAAAATGAATTACTCTGATTATCAAGTAGCATAGGTAACATCAGGCCTGTGACGTAACAGAAAGAGGCTGGGCCAAACACAGAGTCCAGGCTCTCCTGAACTCACCAGTGTGGCCTGGGCGAGTCCTGGCCTCCGTTTTCCAAGGCCCCTGCCAGCTGTAAGATGTGGTTCTGAGGGCACTGCCTCTGGTGCAAGAATTCTTGTGTCTGCCCCCTGATCTCTTGGCTGTCCTGTTAACTGGGCCCCACATTGCCTTACATCAGAGACTCTTACTGAGGGAGCCAGTCAGTTGCCAACAGTGGGAGATCCCACTGGAGCCTTTGCTCCATACCCTCTTCCCATTTCCTCAGGGCTGAAGTGAGCTTCTATACTCTCTTAGCCTCAGTTGCTCCCCAGTCTTAAGGATAGGGTGGGGGCGGGGAGAGCAAGGAGTGTGGCAGGGGGTTGTTCTTGCTAGAGAAATCAAGGACAGAGTGCCCCTGTAAGATTTCCCAGTGGAGAGCACCAGTCGGCCTGGATTCCCCTCCTCCTGGGGAGAACTGAATCTAGCTGACCCGCCTTTAACATCCTGCTCCTCCCGGGATGGCCCCAAATGTGCCAGACCACGATCCTTCCTTTGAGTAAGCAGCTCAGCACAACCCCTGCTGAGCTCACAGAGGTGAAATAAATACACTAAATGTGCAGGGCGCGAGTCCCTGCAGCAGCAGCACATCCCCACAACACAGACAATGGCATCCAGCTTATCAGTCACCCTTCTGGAGGCTACAGCTCTCCCCTTCTAGGCTGGGCTTCCTTGCTTCCAGCCCACACTGCTGAGAAGGAATGAGAAATAGCACTGTTTTTTCTCCCCAGGAAGTGATCAGCTCATGGGTCCCTGTGCCCTTCCTCCAACCCCCAGTACTGAGGGCTCCAGGGACCAAAAAATGCCAGGCTCACTGAGTTATGGCATCTGCAGTGCTAAAATGTAGCAGGTCTGTGGCTGGCCAGGCAGGAACCTCTGTAGTTTAGCCCCCGCCTTAGGTCTGGAGGCTGCCATGAAGGGGAACAGCTCAGGAAGCATACTGAGGCCTGGTAACTCCCAGGAAACGGGGAATTGGCTCTTATTAAGATGAGGCCTTGGTGTAGGGCCAGTTGGTTTGCTTCTCAAATTAATACAGGTCAAAGAATTACCAGGTTGGAAAAGCCTCAGAAATCACCCAGGCTGACCCTCTATTTTATAAAAAGAGAAACTGAGGCTTGAGGACACGAGGACGTCACTTGCACAGAGCCTCTCAGAGCCACAGAATAGCTTGGCCTAGAGTCCGGGGCTACAGTGTAGAGCCCAGAGCTCTTTCCACTCTGTGCCATCCCCCAAGTCTCCTTCCTAATGATACTGTGTAATGGGGCCTGCCCCGTGTGGACCCATGGAGCTCATTCATAAGGAGCAGAATCCATTCATGGTCCTGCCTTGCCATCCAAGAACTGGAAGAGCTTGAGGCCCAAGAGTTCTCACTAAGCTCTGCCACTTCATGGAATGGTACCTTAGTTAGGCCCCTTCTCTGAGCCTTAGTTCCTCGATGACAAAATGGGGATTTAAGAACCATTTCCCCAGATGGCTACTGCAAGGATCAAATGAGATCATGTGTGTGAGGCATTTAATAAACTGTGAAGCGCTATTCAAATGTCAGAGACTGTTAAAATGGGGTGAGTTTTGAAGGTGCCGTAGAGGAAGGAGGTCAAAGGTGAGGGGCCATGCAAAAGTGAGAACCCATGACCAAATGAGTCCGAGGACCTGCCTGGCCATGCCATGGACTTTGGGGCCACCAGCAGACTGACATGCAGCTGGTCAGACCACACCAAACTCATTAGCTTGAGAGACTGCCTCCCTGCTTTGGGGTGTGTGTGTGTGTGTGTGTGTGTGTGTGTGTGCATGTGTGTGTGTGTGTGTGTGTGTGTGTTGTGTATGTCTGCCCTCCTAGAGGCTCTTGCCAGGCTACCCTAGAATTTGCCTGGCTTTTCCAGGGCAGCATTTGGCAGGAGGGCACTGTAGGTGCTGGGGAAGGACACCTTGCTTCAGGCCAGCTCACAGTCCCACAAAGAAAAGCCTGCCAGCCCAGATTCCTCTGGGGGTGTCTGGATGCGCCTGCTTCCTCTGGGGCCCTTACCTTGTACTTGGCTGCAAGCAACTCTGTGGCCTGCTGCTCACGCCGCAGATCTTCCAGCATCTTCTCCTTCTCTTCCAGCAGCTTCTGCTTCTCCTCGCTCACCAGACTGCGGTCATCCTGGATGGCTGCCTTCTCCTCCTCCAGCCGCTCCTTCTGCTCCTGCAGGTAATTCTCCATGTTCTTGTCCAAGGCCGACTCCAGGATGGGCTGGGGTGGACGGTGGTTGTTGTTGTTGTCATCCTCCTCTTCGGCCACCCAGGCCTCGATCACTGGCCCCTCAGGGTACCCGGCGGGGGCTGACACAGCCTTCTTCCTGCGGCTGCTCTTCCTCCGGAGCCGCTTCCCCAGCATCCCCTTCTTCTCCAGCTGGGCCTTCAGGCGGGCGATCTCCTCCTGGAATTCCCGCAGCAGTGTGTCCTTAGGGTCCTCGTTCACCCGGGGCTTGTTCTTGATGTTTTTGGCCCGGTTGGCAAAGCGCAAGGTAGAGAGGCTCTCATCATAGCTGTGAGAAGCTGGCCCCAGAGTAGCCACCATAATGGTCTTGGCATTCCCCCCGAGAGAGTCCTGGAGCAGCCGGGTCAGCTTGGAGTCCCGGTAGGGAATATGGGTGCTTCTGTTGCCTGCCAGAGCAGCGATCACATTACCCAGGGCAGACAGCGAGAGGTTGATTTTGGAGGCTTCCTTGGGCCTTTCTCCACCACCACCACCACCGCCACCACTGCCTGTGGACTGTGTGGCAGCCCCTCCAGCTGTGTTGGGGCTCGCCTTATTCTGCCTCTCGCTACCAGCCAGGTCCACCAGGTTGAGCTTGCCCACACGGATGTGGTCTTGGCCATCGGAGCCACGCTCACTGCACTCCACGGTGATGACGAAGATGGCATGGGAGCGGGAGCTGACCTCATTCATGTGTGTGCTGCCCACTGCCCGGGTCTGGTTCCCTAGGTTCATCACGTGCTCAATCTCCTTGACATTCTTGGTGACAAAAGAGGAGAGGTCCTTGATGTAGACACCTGTCTCTGGGTTTTCCTTCAGCTCCAGCCTCTTGCCGGGCTCCTTGGAGAGCAGGTCTCGAATCTCCTCCTGGTAGATCTCCAGGTAGGAGGCCCGGACCAGGTACTGCTGGTTCTGGGAGCGAGAGATGTGGGTGAAGATGTGCTCAAAGGCGTTAGGGATGACCCCACGCAGCTCGGGCTCCACCCAGGTCCCTTGCATGGTGTAGGTCTTGCCAGTGCCTGTCTGGCCATAGGCAAACACGGTGCCATTGAAACCCTGAAGCACCGAGTCTACCAGGGGCCTCACGGTTTCATCATACAAGTCTGCCTGCTTGGAGCTGGCATCATACACGGCATCAAAGGTGAAGGTCTTGGGCAGCTCCCCCAAGGCAGCGCGGGGGTTCCGCAAGGTCACTTGGCCCAGTTTCACGTCCATGGTTAGGATTTGCTCGTGACCAGCAGCCTCCTCTTTCCGGCTGAGGGGGCGGCAGCGGGCCACCACCTTCAGGGCCTCGCTGGCCTTGGTTTTACTGGCCATCTTGCTCCTGTCCTCCCTGCCCCACAGCCCCCACCGTAGCCTAGGCGGTCCTGCAGTCCTCCCTAGGTAGGAATCAGCGGGGCCAGCCCAGCCCCCAGGCGCCGCTCTTCAATCCCGCATGCAGCCTCCTAGGGTGGGGATGCTGGGAGGTGGCCCACCGCTGCTGCAGTCCGGGGCCTCCTCCGCCCTCTGGTCCTCGCTGCTCCGAGTGGGTACGGAAAATTAAGCAGAATCGCCAGACAGCCGCGGGAGCCGTGCCGGCTGAACAGCAGTGCCCGGAGCCCGCCCCATGCTGGGGCAGAAGAGCCTGGCCGTAAACAGCTATGGCAACAATGAGATAAAGGAAGAGGAAAATGGGATGGGGTGGGCGGCAGAGCTGTCTTCTCCACCTCCTCCTCCTCCTCCCCTAGGGATCCATGGCGGGGCAGCAGGTCCTGGGCGGCCGCGGGTCTCGGCCCTTCTGAGGGCAGAGGCTCACCTAGAGTCCTCCTCCCCAGCTGGGGGATCATTCATTGCAGCCAGCGCTGCTGCTGATGCTTCTGCCTCCGCCTTCCCGGCCGCTGCCAGAGAATGAGAGAAAAACAGAAGGGGATGGGGCGGAGCAGCTGCGAGACTGCTATCACCGCGGCGCTGCGGCCCCAGCCAAGCCTGGCTGGGGTGGGGCAATGGGCGGGGCCGCGGGGCGGTAGACGGGAGCCCGGCGCGGCCAGTGCGGCCAGTGCGCGGGGGACAGGGATGCACCGCCAAGCCGCACCTTGCAGACCCCTCCAGAATGACAGGCTCCAGTTGCGGACTCAGGTCTTGCACCCACAGGGCGGCGCAGCGCAGCCAACACCCTCGTCACTCCACTGGGCCTGGGCATGCTGGGAGTTGTAGTCCCGCCTTTGTTAACCCGGATCTGGCAGGTTGCTGCTGCCGTCTTCAGTCCAGGAGGCCCCGCCCTCGCTGGCATGCAACCCTCAGAGTGACTGCTGAAGTTTCCGCCAACTTGATGGGCTACCCACACCTGTTTCCTTCACAGCCACTGTCCTCCGTCTCTCCAATGCTCCCGCCCCTCTGTCTGCAGGTATATGTCACCCATCCCCTTCAGGGTGGTCTCCACGTACCCTAATTCCTAGTCCTCTCCTCTCCCTACTCTGGTGTATTTCTTCTTTGCTCTTCTCTTCTCATGGATCCACCTTCCAACTGACTTTCTCCTCACCTCCTGTCTGCACAAGCACCCCTTTATCTCCATCAGCCTTCTATATTGTAGAAAAGGCTCTCCATCTTCTTCCCTAACTTCCCGGCCTTGCCTCCAGCTACTCTCCTACGGAGAGTCTGTTACAGATATTCATTCCTTCAAACTGCGCTTGCTAAACCCCAGGCGCCATTCTAGGAGCTGGACCTTCCTGTCCTCAAGGAGCTCACTTTCTAGGAACCGCGTTTTGTTTCCTTAACTGGCTGTGCTGCGTTGCATCTTTGTTCCTTTGCCCAGAGGACGCTGTCACCCTTCTGTACTTGGTGCCCTGCCACTTGGGCAGTTTAAGCACCTCCTCTGTGAAGCCTTCACCGACCAATGTCTTTTCCATAGCAGAGACACATAATTTGCATAAAACAAAACTTGGATTCCAGTTCTAGTTCAGACCTCCATCCAACTGTGTGACTCTGAGCAGTCACTTACCTTGCCTCAGCCTTAGTTTTCTGTTTTAAAAAATCGGAAAGGGCAATAAATAATATATGCTTCTGGAAGTAGTTGTGAGCCTCAAGTGAAAAAATGAATCATAAAACATTGCACCAATGAGAAGACTTATTTTTAAGCAAGCCCTTAATGATGCACATGGCCTTGGATTGCCTGATAGTTCCTGCTTCCCTGAACGTCCTGGATAGGCCAGGCCAGGTCAGTGTTTCTCTTTGAGGTCACCATATTCTTTTCCTCTAGCATACAATTCAAGTGTTCCTTAAGTCCAAGGACCAAACCAGTATCCAACCCATGTTCCACTCTGCAGAAGGGAGGTGAATCTGTGGACGGGGCCCTGGTTGTCCTCACCCTTTATGTGAGAGGGAGGAGGTGCTGTTATCTTCACAGACACCAGAGGAGTCTGTCCAAACATTCTCAATCATGTTATCCTCTAGAGGGCCTATCCATTTAGTTCTTCCACTCCACAGAAAGTGTCTTCTTAATTGTTCCCCATCTTCAAGTCCCTGGGGCCTGAATGCCAGCCCAACTGGAAGCCAAGGCTTAGCTCAGCTCTGTAATTCCTTGGCCTTCCTCAGCTCTCTCTTGATCAAGCTCAACTGCTTGTGATTAACTTGGCTTCTGGACCAGTTAGCGGGTGGAGTTTGGGCTTTGTAGACTAACCTGTCTTGGCCAGGGTAACCTGATTTCTGGATGGGCAATTTAGCTCTTGATGTATTTTCTTGTTGCACTTGGCTTTGGTTTTTGGACCACCTTTTCTCTGCTTTGACTAACCCGCCTGACTCTACAGTGAGGGATTAAATGGACCCCAGCCCTGTTCTCTCCACCAATGCCACCACCTGGCAGGGCACTTGCTCAGATCCTCCCATCTGGGAGGGACACTGGATTCCCATTTCTTACAAGATGTGTAACCCTGGGTAAATCATTAAACTTCTGAACAGCTACTTTCTCAGTGGGAAAAGGAGAATAAGAATGCTTTGCAGACTCATGGGGTTCACATGAGTATTAAGTGAGATAATGTATGTGAAAACCCCCAGGGCATAAAAGACATTCAAGAAATTGTAGTTTTCCTTCCTTTTGTCCTTGCATTTGGGTTGTTCACATTATTTGTCTCCCTTTTCAGCATTGTCTTCAGCCATACTTCCTCCCTATATCCTCTTAAACATTCAAGTTTCCATCCATTCTGGTTTGCTTAAGGTCCTCCAAACACATGGTTGATTTTCATGTCTTCATACCTTTGCTCATGCTGCTCCTTGGCTGGAAATGCCCTTCTAACTTTGTTCCTGTCTACGGAGCTTCACCTTTTACTAATTCCACAACTCAATCTTATATGGCTTCTGCTCCTATGGCTCAACAGAGATTTCCCTTACCAAGGACATCAGTGAACTCCATGGCCCATTCTAGTGGGCCCCTTTTAATGGGAGCCTTTGAGTCTCATTGCGCCTGTACTTTTCTGGGTTTCTTTGTACATCTACTAGGAGTTCGGTTGCTCAATTTCAGTCTCCCTAACTGGTTAATGTCACTCCACCCCTACATTAAATGTTGGCGTTTACTAAGGCTAGGTCCTAAGCCCTATTTTTCTTCAAATGCCACCATCTGGCAATCACTATAACTTATGGTTCCAATTATTGTCTAAATGATTCCTATATTTATATCTCCAATCCAGACTTCTCTGGGTTCCAAATTTTATATCCAATTCTCTAATGGACGTGGCCACTTGGATAGCTCTTGTCTATATGAAATTCTACTTGTTCAACTGAATTCATCACCTTCCCATCCAAACCTGGTCCTCTAGGAATGGTCCTTAGCTCTGTAAAGGACTCTTTCCCCACTTTCAGTATATCCATTCAAACACCAAATCTATCGGCCTCTCCTCCACTTTCAATATCATGATCCAAGCCACTATCTTCTCTGGCCTGAGCTCCCACAATAGGTCTTCCCAGGTGTGCTCTTGTCTCCACCCATCTATTCTCTATAATCTTTTAATAGTACATGATTGATTGCATCACTCCATGCTTAAGACCTTTTGATGCTTCTCACTGTTCTTAAGGTAAAGTCCAAATCATTAATGTAGCCCCCAAGGCCCTACATGATCTGGTACCTGCCCTTGTCTCCTTGTTCTTTGGGCTCTCGCTACAACAGCCTTCTGTAGCTCCCTTCCAGCTTCCTAACAAAGGGCCCTTCCACATTCTGTTTCTGCTGCAGACGACATTTATCCGAACCATCTTTGCCTAGACACCTGCTCTTCATCCTCCAGCTCTCAGCTTGAATGTCACTTCCTAAGGGCACCTTTTTTGTTTTTTCCACCTAATTTATGTCCCTTTGTCCTATGTTCTCATGGTTCCCTCTATTTCTTTCATAGAAGTTAGCATAATTATAATTAAGTTGATATTCACCCACATTCTTCATTGTTCTTTGAAGACATTCAGTTTTGTAGACTAGCCACAATGACTAGTCCAGTTCCTGGCAAATAATATGTGCTCAATCACTATTTTTATAAATAAATGAAATAAAAGCCCCTTGCGAACATCACTTCTTCTGGGAACCCTTCTTTGACTCCCGTGAGTCTACCTGCTAACTAACTTTCCTTTCTTCACGATCCTATTGCTCATTGTTTAAGTAGTCTTACAGTACTCCTCACAGTGGACCTGTACTATGGTTACCTGAGAATGTCTCTCTCTCCATAATGTATAGCCTCCTGAAGACAGGAGTCTCATTTATCTAGCAGAGCACCAAATGCACTTTAGGTAATCAATATCAGTTGCTAAGCAAATGAATGAATGTTCCAAGACCTTCCAGGCAAGAAAATGGGAAGGTAAAATAAAGAAGTAACTAACAAATTCTTGCACAATATTTGTACAGTGCTTTACAGTTAATAGCGTATTATCATGTATTCACTTGATTTTCACATCAACCCCAGGAAAAGGGAAATATTAATATTCCCTCATTGTAAAGAGGACTCCAAGCTTCAGGCTAATTAAACAACTGAGGAAGGAAACCCAGCCACCAAGTGGCATAGTCAATCTTGACCCCAACCCTGCCACCATTCAGGGGGTCTTTCCCCTAAATCATGGGGAGAGCTCACCATGGAGAGGGCAGAACAGTTGCTTCTGAGTCCTGGTTTGAATGAGTTTCACTGGAGTCCAGACTCATCTTTGGCTTGGAAGGAGTAAGAAGCTTCCTCTGCTGTTTTTACTTTGACAATGACATTTTTTCCCGGGGACTTCTACAACAGCCCCTTCTTCCAGTATGTTCCCAGCAACAGTCAGGGTGTGATTACACCAAGAAGACAAAGTTAGCTCCTTAGTGATCCTGGGGCCTGCAAATTTTCAGGTGCAAGTAATTCAGCATTGGGATTTACCTTGTAAAACCAAGTTCTGCCAGCAGGGGGAGACATGAGTACGTAACAGAATCACGGGACGAGATCCAAGCTTCTGGGCTCTCTCAATCACTGTGACATTATCCAATTCAAGAAACCCCCAGTCGTGCCCAAGTCTACATTACTAATAGCTCCTCTTTTCCCCCAACAGCTTATCTCCCCCTTTCTTTGCTGTAAAATTTTTGCTGAATGGGATTTGAGTCAACTCCCCATCTCCTCCCTGAAAAAATCTGAGTATCAGACACGCACTGTCCTAGGTAGCTTTACTGAGCACCTAACAGGTGGGTACAGATGTTTTTGTAACCTTCACATTAACTCATGTGGTAGCACTGAAACTCAAGCCTAATGGCTCCAACTCCAAAGCCTGTGTTCTTTCCACCACTCTATATGGGCCCCAAGGGTTAGCTTTCCATCTGTCCCCTAGCTGGACTAACCACCTTCTTTAAACACTTCCCTGCTTCTAGCCTCAAGGGTCTCTTCCCTTCTTTACTTCCCTTGGCAATTAGCATTTGCTTTTTTTTTTTTAAATGGCATTATCATATCCACCTGTGAAATATTGTCTCCCCAATTGGATTTCTTCTTTGCTGTACATAAGTTTCTCATTGCAAAGTAATTTAAAAACGTGTTTTGATGAGCTTTTACTGTACTATATATAGACTTGAGTATCCTAATATTTTTAAATATTGTACACATTATTGACTCCACTTTCTCTTAATTCTACATGCAGTCCATCAACAGATAGTA